CAGCTTGGTACTTAAAACAGTTGAAAATTAAAGATTTCGCTCAGAGGTCAGACCTAATGCCATATATTTGACAATAATTAAACTATCATTTCCAGGTATAAGAGCAAAAATAGTTTAAATTATACTCCCTTTTTTTGCAGCTTTGATGTAAGTTTCTCAAGCTTTGGAGTTTAAAGCTCATTTGTACTTTTGAGTGTGATTAATGCTGTTTTACTTTTTCACTGATCTTGTTTGAGAGAAGAGAGAGTTGATAAACACTAACATGAAAATGTGATACACTAGATTTGTAAACAAATTAAAGTGAAAATAATGCAAGTTACTCAGGCTGAGACCTGAGGATTACAGTTCAAAGCTAGCCCAGACAAGAAAGTCTTTGATACTCTTATCTCCAATTAACTACCAAAAAGCCGGAAGTAGAGCTATGGTCTAGTGGTAGAGCACTAGCTTCGAGGAAAAAACCCCAAAAAACAAACTCAGGGACAGAACCTAGGCCCTGAGCCCCAGGACTGGCAATAATACTAATCAAAATAATAATAATATAGCTTCAACATAAATCAAAGGAATTGAGTCTTAACAGGGCTGAGACATTTTTATGGTGTTTTAAAGCAATTATATTTTCTAACAGTTGATTAATATGGACAGATTGGGAATTGAGGTACACATAGTGAAATGCTGTCCGGGTCACCCCATGTGGATGAATCTGCTAAGCAGAACCGCTCATCTCTGCTCCCTGCGTCACTCTTTCAAGTTTGTGTCTTAAGTACTTTTGAGGATTTCCTCCATTCCTTCAAGGCTTCCATTTTAGTATTTTCTCCATAGCTTGAAGGAATAAATATTCTGGTGTCAAATTAAGGTTAAGTCTCTGGAGCAGTCAAAAAATAAAGCTATATTGAACTGTTATTACGAATTTGAGGTTTGGCGCTTTGAACCTGGCAGTGGGCATAAGTAGAAAATTATTGTTGGACAATCATTTAATCACTTAAATAAATAAATAAATATATATATATATATTTTAATGCACTCACATAGTAACAGTTCTATTTTCCTGCAGGTTTTGGTGTAGGGAAAAAATCTGAGAATGGGCCAAAGAAAGCCTTTTGTAGGACCTAGGACATTAAGACCTCTACTATGTTTAACCTTGGTCCAGTAATATACATGGCTTTTTGGTAATAAATTTTATTATACTTTTCATTTAGATCTCTATAGTGTCTCAGAATGCCACCCAGGTCTTATTTGGAAATTAATTTTTGGCAAGTTTTTATGGTTTATCCTAATGTGACTGCTTTACATTTGAGGAAACTGAGGTATTCCCTCAGAGCAGTATTTCTTCCCAGTGTGTCAGGACATTGTAGAACACTAAATAGACTTTATTACTGAGCTCCTCCTTCCTTGAACAGGATCAGTGTGAGACAAGTAATCAGAGTTGTTTTAAAAATAAACATGATAGACTATTTTCAGTTGTTCTAGTTTTTAAGGATGTATTTGAGAACTGACTTTTATTTTTTTTTATTAAATATGTTTAACCTTAAATTTTCATAAATTTTTTTTTTTTTGGGTCCGGTCCTGGGGCCTGAACTCTGGGCCTGGGCGCTGTCCCTCAGCTCTTCAGCTCAATGCTAGCACTCTACCACTTAAGCCACAGTGCCACTTCTGGCTTTTTTCTTTTTGCTTATGTGGTTCTGAGGAATCGAACCCAGGGCCTTATGCATGCAAGGCAAGCGCTCTACCACTGTGCTACCTTCCCAGCCCCATAAAATATTTTTTTGTGTGTGCTGTTCTGGGGCTTGAACTCAGGGCTGTGAGCTGCTTTTGCTCAAGACTAGCAGTCTATCACTTGAGCCACAGATATACTTCCAGCTTTTTCTGAGTAGTTTATTGAAGATAAGAGTCTCATGGACTTTCCTTCCAGGTTGGTTTTGAACTGCCATCCTCAGGTCTCAGTCTCCTGAGTAGCTAGGATTATAGGTATAAGACATCAGTGCCTGACAATATTCTTATTTTTTATTTTTATTTTATTTTATTATTTTTTTGGGGGGGGTCCAGTCGTGGGGCCTGAACTCTGGGCCTGGGCACTGTTCCTCAGCTCTTCAGCTCAAGGCTAGTGCTCTACCACTTGAGCCACAGCGCCACTTCTGGCTATTTTTCTTTTTGCTTATGTGGTGCTGGGGAATTGAACCCAGGGCCTCAGGCATGCAAGGCAAGTGCTCTACCACTGAGCCACCTTCCCAGCCCAATATTCTTATTTTTTAATGCAAGTATTCTTACCTTTAAAATAAGAACTGGAGACATGGCTCAGATGCTAGCATGTCTTTTTACTAGCGTTAAGCCTTGAGTTCAAACCCTATTACCACTGGGGGAAAAAGTGATTTAACCCTCCATCTTTTTCTCTCCTGAAATTCTTGGGTCTTTCCAATGTATCTCTTGTTACATTGTTTCTCCAACAATTTCTATCCTGAATTTTGACATTGCCAGTTTATTTGGGAGATGGTGTGGTAGGAAAAGAATAAAAGACAATTTTCATTATTTTTTAAAGCTTCAGATATACACAGAAATAAGATTATACAAAGAATCCATTACTCATGGCTTATACTCAGCAGTTTTCAGATACTGCCATATTTTCTTGGTCTTGTCCTTTATAAGTAAATCTCAGACTTGGGCATTTCACCTCTCATATTAGTCTGTTTTGCTAAAAATACATCTACAAAAATATCATAGCTAGTAAAATTAACATTAATTCCTTGATATTTATCAACTGCCCAGGCTATCATCAGATTTCCTTTGTTCTTAGACTTTTTTTTACAGTTGGTTTATTCATATACAGATCAGATAAGTGCTACCCATTTTGTTTGGTTAAAGACCAATTTTTAAAGCAGATGGCTGTTAAGGAGCCACAAGGGAAAGCTCTTATTGCATCTTCTAACAAATTTATTTTCAACTCCTTGTGACTCTTCTCCTTTCCCTTTATCCAGATTAGCTCTTTGTCTTTGCGGTAAGGATAGGGGGGCACCTCCAACTTGGTATGTTCCATTTGAGAAGTTAAAAGTTTATTTTAGAAATACACATTTGAAAAACCAACCTCAAGATGTGCTAGATTATTTAATTACAGTGGGCTAAAGAGAATCTTGGCAATTCTCTTTCGACACCTATCTGTCATCTGTCACTAAAAACGGTCGTGGAATTGAGAGTGATTCACTGCTGTGTATCACTCTCCTAGGATAATTTCCCGAGTTGTTATGACTAATGTTTTTCTCAGATTTCAGAGTGGAAATGTAGAGTATGCCTCTAAAAATGTCTTTCCCTAGTTTTTAATCTTTGCTTAAGCAATATTTATTAGTTTCCAACATAGGCTTGAGCATTTACATTGTTTCCTTGGGAAAAATAAGAGGTATGTAATTTCCTAGACTAGCGAAATGCACATATTAGTCATGTTAAATTGCTGAAATGTTTGAACATTGCAGAGAAATTAAGCTCATCAATATTTTTTCTTTGAAAAATATTATAGAGTAATAAAAAGTTCTTTTGTGAAATTTGTATTCCAGAATGATGACAAAAATGCATTTGTTCAAAAATCCCCATCAGGTATTATTGACAAAAATGAAATCTTAGGTCAGGGCCTGCATGTAAGTTTGTATAGGTTGCACATTCTTGGTTACAAGGGGTGAGGCGTTGGGTATGGCTCATGGCAATAAAGGGTCTTAACGAAGGAACGCTCAGTTCTTTTTTAACAAAGTAAAGCCTTTATAGGGGTTAATGTTGCTGTGGCCTCTGTTTCTGCCTCTATTTAGAAATCAGTATTGCTAAGTAATTAAGAATATGTACAGTAGTATCTCATTGTATGAAATTTTCTCTTGTACTTACTGGCAAGCTCAATTTTGAAGAGTCTACAACCAGAATAAAGTAAAATGGGACCAGTATAGTGAGAATAAATTGTATAGTCTGTCAACATCATATTTTACATTTAAGAAAGCCTGCTAATGTTTTATGTATGCTTCTAGCCCATTTATGTGTTTTCTAGCCCAGTCATTTGCTCTAGTCATAAAGCTGGCAGAAGCAGGACATGATCCTGATACCCATTTGACCAAAAGTAGAGTTAGAAAATACATACACGCATGCACACATGCACCCACATATGCATATACGCACATGTGTATAGTGCCCAAACTCTCACTGTGGGCTGGCTTCAGGTTAGCAACTGAAGATGAATTTCTTGTCAGGAACATGTGAGGAAAGTACTGTTTTGTTGCTTAATACCCCCAGCTAGTGTTCATAGTAATAAACCATTGTCATCTGAAAATGTTAATTAGGGTACATAAATTCCTTTTTAATGAAGTTTGTAGTGTATTTCAGAAAGCTCCTTCCTTATCAGTGGAAATTTCAATAATGTGTGTGCTTATAACGAAATTTGAGGGCTGGGAAGGTGGCTCAGTGGTAGAGTGCTTGCCTTGCATGCATGAGGCCCTGGGTTCGATTCCTCAGCACCCATAAGCAAAAAGAAAAAAGCCGGAAGTGGCTCAAGAGGTAGAGCGCTAGCCTTGAGCTGAAGGACAGCGCCCAGGCCCAGAGTTCAGGCCCCACGACCGGACCCCCCCCAAAAAAAGAAAGAAAATAAAAAGAAATTTGAGTGCTTGATACAGTATCTAGGAAGCATGAAGTATGCTGCATATATGTGTTAACTTTGTTACTGTACCTGTGTGAACCACTGCTTTTCTAATGACACCAGATAAGTTAAGATTTCTCCCTACCAACCACCTTTACAGGTTTGTTTGTCTTTTTAAGAAAGGATTTGGGGGAAGTAAAAATACAAATATTGCTACTTGCTTTTCCCTTTGTAGCTAATCTACTGCAGACCCTCACATATTTGTTACTTGTATAGATGCTTAATTCTTGCTTAAAATAAAATGGAACATATGCCACTTAAAATTACTAGAGAAACTTGTGATTGAAAATCTTTAGACCTATAATATTAAAAATCTTTAGACCTATGCTTGTTCCATTACAGGTTGAAGACTTTAAGTGACAAGTCAAGAGAAGCGAAAGTAAAAAGCAAACCCAGGTAAAGTTATGCTAAGATTTTAATTTATTATATCTTGAATGTTGTACAATTTTTGGTTGCATTTGTAATAGTAAAAGAACTTATGGGTTTTAGGTCTATTGAGTTTATCTGATTACAAAACAATAAATTTTTCTAAATTTTGTAACATGGGAAATTTCTCTGACAAAATTGTGAAATTGTTGAAAAATGGTCAAGTACAGTTGTTTCACATTGACAATCATTAGGTGTTATTTAATCACAGTTGATTTGTGTATTAAGACCAGAGTGAAAGGCCTACATCAATGAAAAGTAAATTGTTATAAAGCAGAAGTTCCAAGTGAGTCTCTTTGTGTTCTTTAAAGTGAGTCCTTTAACATGCTTTATCTGGAAACACTGTGAATTGTGCTGGATTTTAATGTTGTTACTAAAACATGTGACCAAATTAACTTTGAACTCTTGAGCTTTGATCTTGCCTACTTACTCATTACATTAAAATATGTTTAAGTTCAATCTTCAAATGGTTATACAAGAGGGTTAAAATTCAACATTTTAAAGTATTTATTGTACTATATGCAAAAGATAATCTTCAGAACAAAGTGACAGTTGTATATTTCCCATTAACACTAAAATAATAGCCAGGAGCCAGTGGCTCACGCCTGTAATCCTAGCTACTCAGGAGGCTGAGATCTGAGAATCATGGTTCAAAGCTAGCTCGGGCAGGCAACTCCGTGAAACTCTTATCTCCAATAAACCATCAGAAAGCCGGAAGTGGCACGGTAGCTCAAGTGATAGAGTGCTAGCCTTGAGCTGAAGAGCTGAGGGACAGTGCTCAGGCCCAGAGTTCAAGCCCCACAACTGACAAAAAAAAATCTTTCTAAAAGTTTAAATAAATTATTATTAGTGATTTTAAAATATTTTATGTCATAATTCACAATGCCAGAAATCTCATGTGGAACCTTTTTTTTTCAATTGACTAAATCATAAACAATTTTTTGTTTTGTTTTTTGCATGGGTCCTGGGGCTTGAACTCAGGGCCTGGGCTCTATCCCTGAGTTTTTTTGCTCAAGGTTAGTAATATCCTACCACTTAAGCCACAGCTCAACTTCCTTTTTTGATTATTATTTTTCTTTTGGTTTTTGGTGCTTAATTGCAGATAAGAATCCCATGAACTCTTCTACCTGGGTGGGCTTCAAATCATGATCCTCAGATCTCATCCTCCTAGGTAACTAGGATTACAGATGTGAGCCACCAGTACCTGGCAGTCATAAACAGTTTCAATAAAATAAGTGTTTCTTTTGGCAGGACTGTTGCATATTTGCCGAAATACGCCGCTGGACTAGAGTTACTTAGCAGGTAAATGTTTTCCTTTAGAGAGGAAAGTTATATTTTTAACAATGTAGATTATTATTAACAATTGTATAAAAGCACAATTTTATAGTGATTTGAAAGCCTTTTTTCCCTGAAAGCTTTTGCTTTTCAGTGGCTAGTATGAAGACTATTCAGACTTTAGACAGATCATGATTGTATTTAGTAGTAGGTACTTTATCATGTACATTTGTGATATATATTCTTTTCTTTCCTTCTCTCCTTCTCTCCTTCCTTCCTTCCTTCCTTCCTTCCTTTCATTTTTTTTTTTTTTGCTTATCCTGGGCCTTGAGCTCAGGGCCCGTTTAAGGTTAGTGCTCTACCACTTAAGCATAACACCTCTTCTGGCTTTTTCTGAGTAGCTTATCAGAGTTTAGAGTCTCATAGACTTTTCTGCCTGGGCTGGCTTTGAACAGTGATCCTCAGATCTCAGCCTCTTGAGCTATTGGTGCCCGACTCACTTTTTTTTTTTTTTTTTAAATAGAAACAAAGCCAAGTGCCCGTGGCTCAGGCGTGTAATCCTAGCCAGCCCGGGCAGGAAACTGTGTGAGACTCTTACCTCCAATTAACCACCAGAAAATGAAAGAGGCGCTGTGGCTCAAGTGGTAGAGTGCCAGCCTTGAGCTGAAGAGCTCAGAGTCAGCACCCAGGCCCAGAGTTCACGCCCCATGACCTTTAAAAAAAAAAAAAGAACCTTTTTTTTTTTTTTAAATTGTGAAAATACCATACAGAGGGGTTACAATTGCATGGGAAGTTTCTTTTTTTTAAGACAGGCTTTTACTCTATAGGCCAGGCTGAAGGTGTATGCCATCTCATACTGATAAATACTACCAACATGAGTGAAACTTTAAAACATTATGCTCAATGAAGGGAACTAGCACAAAAGGAAATAGCACATACAATTCCATTTAAATAGAAATGTCCAGAAGAGGTAAAACATAGAGACAAAAGGTAGATTAGGGGGCAGGGAAGGTGGCTCAGTGGTAGAGTGCTTGCCTTGCGTGCATGAGGCCCTGGTTCGATTTCTCAACACCACATAAGCAGAAAAAGCCAGAAATGGCACTGTGGCTCAAGTGGTGGAGTGCTAGCTTTGAGCTGAAGGACTGAGGGACAGCGCCCAGACCCAGAGATCAGGCCAGGACTGAAAAAAAAAAAAAGATAGATTTAGTGGTTATCAACATTTGGAGGAGGAAGGGAAATGGGTAATGACTGTCAATGAGTATGTTGTTTGTTTTTTAAGAGTTAGTTTGATACTTGTATAACTTTGTGTATATGCTAAGAACTACTGCATTATATGCTTTAAAATGCTGAATTTTGTGGTCCATCCCTTACACCAGAGTTACTATAAAAATATGCATGTGTTTCTGTTATGTGAAGTTCTCTATAATTCATCATCTGACAGCTGTGTGGTAAAGATGTGTGCAGTACACCATCATTAGTACCTTTTTGCTTTCTCGTCTCTTTAGAGATTTTTCTTGTTTGAAATGAAAAGTATTTCTTTTTTTGGGGGGGGGTCCGGTCATGGGGCCTGAACTGTGGGCCTGGGCGCTGTCCCTCAGCTCTTCAGCTCAAGGCTAGCACTCTACCACTTGAGCTACAGCGCCACTTCCCGCTTTTTTCTTTTTGCTTATGTGGTGCTGAGGAATCGAACCCAGGCCTCAGGCATGCAAAGCAAGCGCTTTACCGCTGAACCACCTTCCCAGCCCCATGAAAAGTATTTCATAACAGTTTTTTGCTTGGTTTTCTTGAGTGAACAACATAAATGAACAAGTAAAGAAGTATAGTAAAAAACTATCAGTGATGCAATGTTTGTTTTCTCTTATTGAGATGTCTAGTGTTTATCTTTGTCTCACCATCTCTCTTCGCCCTCCTTCTCTCCCTCCTCTTTCCTTCCCTCTCTCTTTCATTCCCATCTGCTTTCTTTCTCCCTCTCCCCCCTGTATATTCACCCATTGATGGATACTTGGGTTGTTTCTGCTTTTTAGCTGTTGTGAATAATGCAGCCATGAACATGGGTGTGCAACTTTTTTTGAGGCTCTGCTTTTAGTTCTAGGTTTATTCTAAGATGTGGGGTTGTTGGATCATATGATCCAATTTTAAATTGCAAGGACTGTTTTCTTCTTGGACATTTGTTGCACTTGTTGGTCCTCATAATAGTGGCCTCTTAGGTTCTGTTCATTTTCCTTCAATCCTCTTTTTATTCAGACTTGACAATTTCAGTTGTCCAACTTCAAGAATGCTGACTCTTCTGCCTGTTCACATTTGCTTTTGAATCTCTAGTAAATCTTTCAGTTCTATACTTTTCATCTCTAAAATTTCCTACAGATTCCTTCCTGTTTTCTCTTTGTCAGAATTATCATTTTTCTTGATTTTTGTCTATGTCAGCTTTGAACATCTTTAAAATGATTGTTCTAAAATGTTTATAAATTCACCCCCTGCTGTTTCTCAGGGAGGGCTGTGGTTTTTTTTTGTCAGTTCATTGTTTTGTAGGGCTTTCATTCCTGTTTTGATTTGTTTTGGTGTTTTTCTTGTCTCCTTTGTGATTTTTTTTAAGTTTAAAATTAGACATTTGAATTGTATATGGTGGTAGAAGGGAAGTTCAGATTCTCCCCTTTCTCAGGGTTTTCTGCTTTGTGTTTAATTGTTGCAATATCTCTGTGCTGGTGTTCCCTTTGAGATGTTAACTTAGTCTCCCTCAAGATTTTTCTGAGCCTCTACTTTTTGTTTGGCCAAATGTGGTGATGTTAAATTTGGCTATATAAATGGTTCTCTTTGAATTTCCTTGTCTTCAAATGTCTGCCTTCCAAAGAAGAAAATAAAGAAATTGAGAGACCAAAACTTTTAACATCTGCTCAAGTCTCTAACAGGAGTAACAAGCATCTTGTACCAGTGGCTGCCTGTGTTTTCATCTCCCTGATCAGCAGCAGCAGCTGCTGGTGACTGGAGTACAAATCCCAGTAACTAGAAGATGAAGTTCTCATTGTCCACCATGGCTCCAACAGGGCAGCTTTGGGAACATGGCTGCTGCCATGAGGGTCAGGTGATGATGGATAGCTGCTACTCTGCTAAAAACAGACCAAAGTTAACCAGTTATTGTCCAAAATCCATCTCAGTTTTTCCATGTAAAACTGAGCAAACCTTTGATTAGGGAAGGCTCTGTTAGTGCAGTGTGGTCTAGATAAGACAGATGCCTCTTATTTCCTACTCGTATACCTCTTAAGTCATAACTTTCTAAACAGGTCCCATGGTTTCCCTTATTTGCAATAACTAGTAGATGTCTGAGTCAACCAGAAAAGGTCACATGAGTTGATGTTAGGGGAATGAACCCCAAGATAAGTATTCAAATGTTTTTTTTTCCTTTCATGCAATTGTTTCTAACATATTTATAATGTGATGTCTATGTTGTTTGTATGTCCCTCCCCCACGGTATAACGCCTGCTTTCACTGTATTTGATGCTGGTACAATTTGTGGAGGGGAAGGGAAAAATCAAATCATTGAACTAGGGATACAGGTGGACCCATTGCAACAATGAGATGTACAAGTGGTTATGTCGAAAGATGAACTTTACAACTTTGGTGGGAGGGGGGAGGATTGGGTTTAGGAGGGAGGGAGTATGCGAAGGGATGGAAAGGGGAAACAAAGAGGAGGCAACAATGCTTGATAAGAAATGTACTCGTTATCTTGCCCATGTAATTGTAACTCCTCTGTATGGTATTCTCATAATAAAAAAAATAAAAAAATAACTTTCTAAACAGTGTAGTACACAACAGTTAAGAATTAGCCTCCAAATTTTTATAGCTCTGTTGCTTTATAATTAGCACTTTGTTTTGTCTACCCTAGAAGGTAAATTCACATGCATGTGGGGACCTGCCTCTGTTATTGTGAACTTCTCTACTAACTGGTAGATAGAGAATATGAATGAATGCATTATCCAATCACAAATGTGGTTTCTTCTTCAATTTTTAATCACTTACATGTAATTTTAAAGATATTTGAAAACAGGAAAATTGAAGGAGTTTATGTCCAGGGTTTGCTTTGTAGATTTCAGCAGGCAACTTTCTTAGCAGGCATGAATTTTTTAAATGGCAGATTGGCAGTTAATGATATGTAGGGCTGAATAACAAGTCTTTATGGTATAGTACATACCTTTCAAACAGTGCTCAGTGCCATGAGACAAGAGAAGAGAGAGTGGTTGGTCAATCTAGATTATTATTGAAGAAATGCCAAATGAAGCAGGAAAATCACAAACCAGATGCTAAACTGGGAAAGTTGACACGAGGGAAAGTGATATATAATAGCAGGGAGGGTGTGGAAGGCCTGTATATGAGGGAAAGAGGAAGTGATGGTAGTCTAAATGTCAATTGATGATTCATTGTTCCTTTCTATTGATTGAGAAAGTAATAGGAAGTTTTGCCATTAATCTCTGAATATGAAATTTAAAATGAGCATTCCTTTATTCATAGTCCTATTATTTAGTAAGTCCTATGTGCTAGGTACTGGGACAGAAAGGTAAAGAAGTAAAATTCACCCTAGCCCCTCTGGTACCTAACAATGCCTGACATTCAGTAAATACTTGTTGAATTTAATAGACACTTACACAATGTGATATACCAGAGAAAATTAGCTGGCAGTGATAGAGCTACATTAATTGTGTGACTTTCTGCATTGTTTTTCATGGCACATAGATGCTGGTAACAGTCCATTAGGATTATCAGATTGACTTCCATTTAAATTCAATAGGAAAAAAAGTCTCTTCATGACTAGACATTCTTAAAATACACATTCCTAGTTAGACAACTACATTTTGATAGATAGAATTTTAGAAATTATGGAAAATCAAGTTATACATCAGCCTTTCTGAATAAATTATACATATATGTCGTTACATTTTAATTTTGAGATAATTTCAGATTTTGGAGAAAGTTGCAGAAGCAGGGAGTATGGCTCAAACCATAGAGTGCCTAGAATAAGAATTCCAGCATCCCCAGTGTTAGTATTTCGTATAACTATAGTATAGTGATTAAAGCCAGGAAATTAGCATTGACAAATGCTTTACTCCAAACCTTACTCAGATGTCATCTGCTCTCTAGCTGACATCCTTTTTTTTCTGGACCAAGATCAAATCCAGAACTGTGCATGTTTAGTCACTGTGACCTTTTTTTTTTTTTTTTTGGTCAGTCATGGGGCCTGAACTCTGGGCCTGGGCACTGTCCCTCACCTCTTCAGCTCAAGGCTAGTGCTCTACTAGAGCACAGTGCCACTTCTGGCTTTTTCTGCATATGTGGTGCTGAGGAATCGAACCCAGCGCCTCATACATGCAAGGCAAGCACTCTACCACAGAGCTACCTTCCTAGCCTCTCACTATGACTTTTATCTGGAACAGTCTTTCATGACATTTGCAAACAGTACTGGTCACTATTTTGCAAATTCTTTCATTAATTTGGATCTTTTTCTTTTCTGCTGAGTAAATTTTATGTTAGTGCCTTTTGTGTATTAATGCATTGTTAGGTGACATAAACTGAAGGTTTTATTTTGGCTCGGTTGCAGAGAGTTCACTCTACCATACCCTGGAGAGAGTGTTGGAGCAGAGAAATTCATATTATGCTGGCGACAAAGCAGAGAAAAAGGGAGACAAGAAAGGACTGGCGTTAAGATACCTTTACTCTCTGACCTACTTCTTCCAGCTATGTTCTTGGAGGATGGCTCCAAGAATTTCCAGACTCTCAAAATAGTACCAATTGCTAGGAACTGAGCATTCAACACGGTGAACCTCTGACTGTGTTTTATATGCGGATGTTAGGATGGAGAATACCAGAAGAGTCATTTTGTGCATTTCTGAGTATATCATGTTAGGAGGCAGATGATGACTGACATCTCATTACCGTTGAGAGTAATTTTGATCAGTTGGTTAGAGAATCTGCCAGGTTTTTTCCTCCTTTGGCTTTTCTCCCCATTTTAGTTAGTTGAGTATTCTGCAGGGAGACACTTTGAGACTAAGTGTCTCTTCAAATCATCCTGTCTTTGGCCATTGGAAGGAAGCATTTAAGTTGATTTCTGTGTCCTTGTAAATGTCTCATTAATTTTTTACTTTTTCCTTTTTGGAACTCCAATATGTTACAGGTTCATCTTTAGATAGTATGTCTTTTTAATGTGTGCTTGAATTTTGAATCATTTTTTGCTCTTCTTAGGTATGAGGACACATGGGCTGCACTACACAGAAGAGCAAAAGAATGTGCACATGCTGGGGAGGTAAGAGATAGCTGATCTTATAAAGCTTTTTTCAGAGTTAACTGTTCAGTTTTTTAAGGTTAAATTTATAATTATGTTTTATAGAAAATACCTGAAGGTGAATTTAGCAGTTGATTATGAAACTTCCTGTGTATTTTTTTATGGCTTCTCAGATAATTCAGTTAGGCTTGAGAGTTCATAACTTTCATTCAGGTACATACAATTTTTTTAGGTATAATGTTTTAAATGAAGTTTAATGACTGTACAGTATATGCATATTATAAGATAGAATCCCATCTGCCCACTCTTTAAGAATTTATTATTGCCTTGGTTGAGTAGGTCATGCTTGCAATACCAGCTACTCAAGAGTCAGAGATTGAGAGGGTTATGGCTCAAAGCCAGCCTGTGCAAAAACTAAGCAAGACTCCATTTTGTTGGCTAGAGCCTAGGGTTGCAGGTACTGTAGAAGTCATAAGTAGCAGGAGTGCTGTCTAATGCTGACTTGGCAAAAACATGAGGTCCTTCCCAAAAAATAAAGCAAAAAACTAATGGAGATATGGCTTAAGTGGTAGACTGCCTGTCTAACAAATAAGAGGCCTTGAGTTCAGAACCCACTACTGCAAAAAATTCTTTATGGTTTAGGCAAAACAATCTACCTAACTAAAGTCATCAACTTGCTTAGTTGAGAAAAAAAAGGTAAAAAATTTTCTGGGTGTGGTTGGCACTTAGTTCTAATGCCAGCACTGGAGAGGCAGAGACAGGAGAATCAGAAGTTTAAGGCCAGCCTGAGCTACCTAGCCTGGGTTACTTAGAGACATATTGTCCACACAAACTTGTACAACAAAAAAAATTTTAGTAAGTTAAATGTTGAGTTCACGTAGTCTTTAGGTATTATCCTGTAGAAATGATGACCACATTTCAGTCCCCTGAATTCAATACCAGTTCACAAGTAATGAGTGTATGATTTTTGAAGGAAAGTAAGTAAAACTTCATTAATTTTTCCAGGCAAACATGGAGCATATGAGCTGCTATTTAAAAAATACATCAATAAAGTAAATTTTAACGAAGAATAGCCTTACTGGTAGGGAGTTGGGTGGGTGAGGTAAGGAGAGGGCAGGCTTCTAAACGGAAAGCCCGGCTTTCCTTTAAAGCAGCAGCATGGGCTTCCGGGTGTATGTGCTGAGGCATTGCTTTGGACCGGATGGCCTGAAGTCCACTGATTTCCCAGGGAGCAGATGTTAACTCTGGAGTTGTGTCTACTGCTGGTTCACTCTCGCCAGTGACAAACGGAAAGGAGCATGATGTCTTTGCCTAGAGTTTTAAAGGCACTGTTGGGTTCCTCACTCAACAGAATAGGAGGAAGGAGATAGGACAATGAGAAAAAAAGAGAAAAAAAGTTTTTAAGACTTACATAACTAAAAGCAAAAGTAACTTGAACTTAAAAGTATTTGTAGTACACACTTAAAGCTTTATTAGCTAAGATCAATATATTCTGTGCTGTTGATGTCAAACTTCCTTTTAGTCTTTTATGGGATTCTGACTTTTGATCTCAGCTGACTTTATCATTGAAATTAATGAAGCTGTATATTCGATGAACACAAGATTATATATGGTGAAAATTAGACTAGTATTACTCTTTATTAATTACAAAAAGAGGGTAAATGTTGGTCTCTGGCTCTAAATTAGACTGTACAGTTATAAGCTATATTATAACATTTCTCAGTCAACAATAGATCAATATACAGTGGTGGTCCCATACGATTACAGTGAAACCAAAGCATTCCTGTTGCCTAGTGACATCATAATCAATGTGATGTCATAGTGTAACTCATTCTTCACATACCTGTAGTGGCACTGGTGTAAAAACACATACTGCACTGCCACTCATATGAAGGTATAACATATACAGTTGTGTATGTCTGTAATACTGGATAATGAAAATAAATGGCTCTCTTACTGCTTTATGTATTTACCATACTATATCATTATTTTAGAGCATACTCTACTCCTCTTGCTTGTTCCACAAGTTCTTATGAAATAATGTGCTGAGTGATACCTGTACATTTCATTTACCTTGTGTCTTCATAGTATCATTTCCTCTTGTTCTTGATTTTATCATATGATTTTTTTCTTCCTCATGGCCATAAGCATAAAACCTACTTATAAGCCAGCACGGTGGCTCACATCTGAGATCTGAGAATCGCAGTTTGAAGCCAGCTTGGGCAGGAAGGTCCATGAAACTTTCATTTCTAATAAACTACTCAGAAAAGGCCAGAAGTGGTGCTGTGGCTCAAGTGTTATAGAACACTAGCCCTGAAACAAAGAACCTTAGGGACAGAGCCCAGGCCCTGAATTCAAGCCCCAGGACCAGCACAAAAACAAACACTACTGGTAAAGAGTTGCTAATAAGGGGGAAAAGTAACCAGGGACTATGGAGGTAGGCATGTCTCATTTCATAGCTGCAATGTAAAAAGAACAAAGTGATAGAAGCTGTTATAGAACCTAGACATTGAAAGCTGAGACTAATAAAAATTTGAGAGGGACTTTACATCAAATATGAAACAAACTCCAGTGATGGAAAACCAGACAATGAAGTATATCCCTTTTAATGCTGTGGCGATTGTGGCCAAAGCAAAAGGTTTGTTTGCAGTATAAGAAAAAGCTGGTCCCAACTTCATGTTAGGTTTACTGTTGTTCTAAGTGGTGTAAACAAAGGTTCATTGCATAATGAGAAAGTAATAAGTCAACAAGGGCTGATGTGAAGGTGGCTGATGAATTTTTGGATCTCTTGGTAAGCTGATTATAGAGGAAAATTATTTGCCAGTGCAAATTTCCAATAATGTTTTTCCTGTGTAGAAACAGCGGTCCAAAAGGCCAAGGGAATTGCCTAGTTTGTCTTTTTTTTGTGTGTGTGCTAGTCTTGGGCTTAAGCTCAGGGTCTGGATGTTGTCCCTGGGTGTTGAGGGGATACCATGATTCTTAGGAAGTGACTGATGAGGCGTCATTGGATCTGTAATAGAGATGCACAGCTAAGAAAGAGGGAAGAGAAGAGGAAGCTGCTGGAGAAGAAAAAGAAGCTGCTGAGCTTTGACAGACATCAAACTCTAAAAAAGTTTGAAGTCATCAACTTTCAACATCAAAAGACGTTCACTCATGGAGAAAAATGTTCATGGTGCATTCTCTGCTTATAAACACATCTATGATGAAAGACAAAAGAAACAGACTAAGCAAACCACCTGGACATTTTTTGAAAAGAATGACACCTCCCCAAAAAGAGCCTAGGCAGGTCCTGGGGTTGGGGGAAGTGGGGGTGGAATCTGAAGAAGTTGCTGTTTATATAGATGACAGCTCTAGGAGAGTCACGCCTCTGATGACCTTCCAGTGTGACAAGATGGGAAGGTAGAAGACTGCTGATGCATGTGTTCATTTTAACAAAACTGCTTAAAAAGAGAAAAAACTGAAAAGAGTTTCTATATGGGATCCAAGCTGGCCTAGAAGTTATGATCCTCTTTTCTCTGTCTCCTGAGGGATGGGATCACAGGTGTGCACCACTATACCCACCCTCTGTTCAGTAGTTTTGAAGCTACTTTTAGAGATCTTTATATAGGCTATTTGAGAACATGTAAAAGTTCACAGAATTTCTTAAGTTCACAGAATTTGTCAAGCTAGTGGTGATGTACACTTGTAATCCTAGATACTTGGGAGACTGAGGCAGAAGTATTCCTCGAACTCAGGAGTTTTAAAGCCAGTCTGGGCAACATAGTAAAATCCTCCCATTCTCCCCCCCCAAAAAAAAAAGGCTGTTTGTATTAAGGCTGGTGTTGTCTCTCCAGTATGCCTTGAACGTAAGAGTTATCTTCTCAGTATGGGTTGGAAATCAGCACATTGTACCTTAGTTCATTTCAGATGTGGATGCTGTTAGAATGTGGAAACAATCTTAACACCATATGCAAATATCTTCTGTCTTCTTTTGATATATTCATTCCTCTAAAATTCTTAAACTATTGAGATTTAGAATCAGATGTATTTATATTCTAAATCTTGAAGAATTTTAATCCTATAAAATGTAAATCATCTTATTAAAATAAATTTAACTAGAAAACACAGTGATAGGTTGTGTTTTGTGGGTATTTTTTTTTCATTTTAGAGCCTTGCTGGTCTTGATCTCATAGACCTTCCTTTTGTGGCTGGCCTCTTAAATGCTAGAATTACAGACATGCACCATCACATTGGATTTGAACTCAGTGATTTTCTTTTTTTTTTTTTTTTGATCAGTTGTGAATTCAGGGCCTGGACGCTGTTCCTGAGTTTTTGTGTGCAAGGCTAGTCCTCTACCACTTTGAGCCAAAGCTTCACTTCCGGTTTTCTGGTGTTTAATTAGAGATAAGAGTTTGATGGACTTTTCCTGCCTGGGCTTGCTGTGAACTGTGATCCTCAGATAACCTCCTGATTCACTAGGACTACAAGCATGAGCCATAGTGTCTGGCTTTCAGTGATTTTGTCTGTAAAAATCAAATGTATTTTCCCGGGTGACAGTGGCTCATGCCTATAATCCTAGATACTCAGGAGGCTGAGATCTGAGGATGGTGGTTCAAAGCCACCTGGGCAGGAAAGTCTGTGAAACTCCTATCTCTAGTAACCACCAAAAAACCGGAAGTGGTGCTGTGGTTCAAGTAGTAGAGTGCTTATCTTGAGCTGATAGAGCTGAGGGACAGCACCCAGGCCCAGAGTTAAAGCCCCATAATGGACAGGAAAAAAATCAAATGTATTTTTGTCTAGTATATAGTAGATTCTGGCCAACTGTTTTTAGTTACAGAGAACATAGCTTATTATCAGTCCTGTTTTCAAAAGGTGACTTCTCCTTGTTCCTATACCTTATTCTAGACTCTTTTCTCACCTACTATTAAGACAGAAACAAAATTGTCATGGAGAAATAGATGGTCATTTCCTTTACAGTCTTCAGGAAAACAAGTTAGAATTATTGTTTTTATTTTATTTATTTTTTTTTAAAGAAGTTTATTTATTTATTTATTTTTGACGGTCCGAGTGCCTGAACTCTGGGCCTGGGCGCCGTCCCTCAGCTCTTCAACTCAAGGCTAGCGCTCTACCACTAGAGCCACAGTGCCACTTCCAGCTTTTTTTGTTTTGTTTTGCTTATGTGGTGCTGAGGAATTGAACCCAGGGCTTCATGCATGAGCGGCAAGCACTCTACCACTGAGCCACCTTCCCAACCCAGAATTATTGTTTTTAGTGCCTTTTATTAGTGTCTTTTATATTTCAGTTCCTTTTTTGTTAATGGAAATCTTTATCTTCTATTTTTAGAATTGACTGATTCTCCTAGTAATTCCTTCTTACATAGTACCCTTTACCTAACTTTATGTCTTTTAATTTGATTCTCTTAGTAATTCCTTCTTATATAGTATCCTTTACCTAATTTAATTGTAAATTGATTATAATGTATTTACTATACATTAGGGAAATTTCTGTTATAAGAATTACTTTCATAAAGCAAACAAGTACTTCTTAATTATCTTTTAGGCTTGTCTTTGTTTTTTTTTGGTGATAGTTTGTGCTTTTTGTGGGTTTGGACTTTCAAATGAAGTTTTTTTTTAAATAATGTATACTTGAGGTAATTTCTTTTTTTAAAAAGATGTTATAGAAACATTGTACATCTCCCTCTTTCCTTTCCTCTTAAAACAATTTCAACTGGTTTCATTGTTCCTTTTTTTTTGTTTTATCATTTATGGGGCTTGAACTCGGGGCCTGGACACTGTCCCTTAGCTTTTTCTCTCAAGGCTACAACTCTACCATTTTGAGCCACAGCACCACTTCCCAGTTTTCTGGTGGTTAATGGAGATAAGAGTCTCATGGACTTTCCTGGCTGGGCTGACTTTGAGCCACGATCCAGATTCAGCCTCCTTAGTTGCTAAGATTACAGACATGAGCAACTGGCACCCAGCTGTTTCATTTTCTTTTATGCATAGAGTGCTCTTAAAAGTAATTTCAATCTCTAAAGTCATTTTTGAACTTTTATCTTCACTGGATTAAGATGCTGTGACACAAGCAGTACTTGGAGTTTTCCTATACTGAATAATAAGCTGATTCTTTACTGAAAACAAGTTAACTTCAGTCTTTATATAACATGAACTGCCCTCTGTAAGCTGAACATACATAACTGTGCTGTTGGCTGTAATTTTGTTGATTGGATTGTCTTTTGTCCTCTGGTTTATATTTTAGCTGGTGGACAGTGAGGTGGTCATGCTCTCAGCACACTGGGAAAAAAAGAAGACCAGCTTGACAGAGCTACAGGAGCAGCTCCAGCAGCTTCCTGGTCTGATAGCAGACTTAGAATCCTTGATGGCAAACCTGAGTAAGTTTGATGTTTGTAGTGTACATCATTTTTAGTAATGAGATTTAGTAATGTAATTTCAATGCTTTCTAAGAATTCATTAAATTCTTGGTTAACAGGGTTTGGGAAAAATAGTGTATTCTAGTTAATTTCAGAGTCTAATTAAGGATTAGAGAGAAAGTGATTTGAAGTGTGGAGATGATTTCTAAAGTGTGCCATTAATGTTTTCTGCCTCAGTTCAGCTCAGTAAACATAATTCTAATTTCACTGACTTAGAACTGTCTTCGTGAGATTAGATCGTTTTAAACCTGTAAAGTTGGAAAATAAGAGGGATTAGGGTAACTTCATCTTGACTGTAGGATGTACTCTAAAAGCAGTTGTTTAAATTTTAGGACTGCTGGAGCTTCATATCTTACAGAGTGCTTTTTCTTCCTCAAACTGATAAGAGATTAGACAATTTTAGTTAAATGAAAGTACTTGCTTGGCTACATTTAACCTTTATGGAGTTCATTATTTTCTTTGGGTGAATTATGTTGCTATCCTTCTTATATATATACATTTTATATATATATATATATATATATATATGTAGAAAAGTATACATTGTGTTTGATAATTGTACATCTGAAGGAAATAGTGAAACTGATAGTTGCCAAAGGACTAAATAACAATTTAGATTTCCATCTGCATTTCCAGAATGTAAAATTGAAGGATAAACAAAAAGTAAAATGTGTGTTGGTAATTTCAAAGTTACTTTGGGGTGAGGAGAAAACAATTGAAAATAGCTGGTTGATATCAGGTTACTTCAGCTTCTCTTTTTACTCTAAGGATTAAAATGGAGGTCACTTATCTTGCCAATTAAACTTGGCTTTTTTAGGGGGAAATTTGTCTGTTACCTTTCTGTTCTTATTCTTTTGGGAAGGTCAGGGAAATACTAAGTTCTTGTTTGGTGCTGTGGAACTTGAACATGAGTTACTCCATTTTTATGTTCAGTCTGGTGTGTTGGGACTTAATGCAATATTGTAGTGGCTTCTATCGTGATTCCTAAGCACAAGATCTAAGTGGAAACAAAATTTAGTGTACACAGGGCATAAACAACTTGAGCTAATAATAACCTGACCAAGTCTTGTAGACAAGAAGGTTAAGATCCTTATCATTTTCTGTTCTTTAATATTACTTTCTTAAAGCAACAGAAAGTTGGTTTACAAAGGCGATAATTATTAAATCCTAAAACAGCTTTTTGTTTCTGTGAATAGACCAGGTTGTTTAGAATCTTGCTGTTGGGCCAACATTTATAGCACCTTCCATGATGTCAGAGCTTATTAGGTGCTTTAAAGGTACTATCTTTAATCCTTACCAGAGCCCTGTAAGAGTGGCTTTTATTTTCCATACTTTGCAGATAGATAAAGACTTTAATTTTGGAGAAGTTGTGACAACCACAGTGACTGGTGGGTGATGAGATGGTAGGATGAGAGCTGTAGGTATCAGCCTTTGAGAGCTGCTTGCAAGTCTCCCAACCCTTGTAGAGGCCTTTAGGGGGCTGAATTTTTGTTATTTCTTCAGAAACATGGAACAGATTTTAGTTCCTAGGAGAACTCTGAAATAGCTTTGGTCATTCTTGCCTTGTTTCTCTCCTGTAGGTCATTATCTTCCTTTGCAAGCCTTAGATAACTAGCGAATGGAGATAGTCTTCTAGATAGCTGGGGTTTTCTTCTTGCTCTCTTTTAGTCACTTGCTTCTCACTGGTTGCATATCTTTACAGGTACTCTACTACAGTGACTTCTTTCTTATTTTTAGTTCCTGTACCTGAGAGTAAATTCTGTTTATAGTTGTTTTCTGTAGGAAATGAAGCCTATGAAAGTCTTTCTTAGAATATGCTGTGTTTTAAGGACTGGGAATGTGGCTTAGTGGTAGAGTGCTTGCCCAGCATGTATGAAGCCCTGGGTTCGATTCCTCAGTACCACATACACAGAAAAAGCTGGAAGTGGCGCTGTGGCTCAAGTGGTAGAGTGCAAGCCTTGAGAAAAAGAAGCTCAGAGACTGTGCCGAGGCCCTGAGTTCAAGCTCCAAGACTGGCAAAACATCTTTAAAAAGTCAAAAGTATTTTTAAAGAAACAACAAAAAGAAGAGGCTGTATTTTCATTCTTATTGAAGATTCTGAGGCCCTGAAAAGGTTTGGTTTTTAGAGAATATATGACCTTATTCTTCAGAAACTGCATTTTAGTTTCTTCAGTATTAGGCAGGGCTTCCAAAATGTTCACTTGAGTTCTGTGTACTAATCTGAAAATCTCTACTGCTAAGAGCAAATCAAAGCCAAATGATTTCCTGACATAATGTTCTGGGCAGATAGGCACTTCTAAATACAGTTGAATCATTTTCTCCCTACTCTATATCTTAACTTACATTGAGTTTTCTTGGGAGAATTAATTTTATCTTGCTTAGTAGATATAAATCTACACAGTCAGTTTTTATGTGAACTGCATTACCTATTAGCATTTGAAAGACATGCTACTTTTAGGGTTTAATTTATGCTGCTATTTGCATAATATTTGTACTTAATGAATGAGTAACTGTGGAAGATAGAGCCTTGGAATCAACAGCTATGCTCATACGGAGATGTTTTGAAATTGTGAGGCTTTTAGCTAAGCAAGTTAAATTGCCTGGAATCAGTATTGATGTATAATAGGATACATCATGAAGCCAAATTTTGTAGGGTAAGTTTTAAATAAGTATCTGTATTATTGGTGCACTTTAGGAATTCATCTTAATGAGTTCAAACATTAATTTTAGATATTGGAATCATTTAATTCTTAAATGTTTATATATTGATTTTTTGATAGCCTGAAAGTATCGCCTATCATCTCCAAACTACCTTGACACAAAATTGAAAGACTTTCAAGCAGTAATAAAACCAATAGAATAAATAGTAACTGACTTTAACTGAATTTTTTCCCTGTCCTGTCATATCTAATACCTTATCAGGCTACTTAATCTCTTTTGATCTTGTCTTGCTCTCTGGACTGTCTGCTGTTATTAAAGAGGAAAGGTTTTATATTATGTGAGCAGTTCAGGCTTTTGATGATGCTTTTAGTATCCTGTGGATTAATAAATTGGAGCCCTAGCTACCTGGTCTTCAAGAATTGTTGACTAGTCCGTACATACTGACTTTTTGTGGGATATGATCTATTTAATTTAGGAAAGTCTGTTTTATTGACAGTTACTACTAAGTCCCGTTATATAGAAAGAAGTGATAAAGGTATATGTTGCAAAGTGAAAAATAATGAATCTGAACTTTCACATCTGAGATTGTTTCTCAGTTCTAGAACTTCCTAACGGAGACCCACATAGGTCTCTTCACTAGTCCAGACTTTAGTTTCCTTTTCTGAAAAATGAGGATCAGGGTAAAATCGGGTCATCAAACCTATGGGGTCCTACACCCAGATCTGCCAACTGCATTTAAGAAGTAGGCATTAAGTGGGCTAAAGACTTAAAGAGAAACTTCTCTGAAGAGGAAGGAAGGATGGCCACATGAAGAAATGCTCAACCTCCCTAGCCATAAAAGAAATGCAAATCAAAACAACATTGAGATGCCACCTCATTCCAATTAGAACTCTAATAACAACAGATGCCGGAGGGGATGTGGACAGAAGGGAATCCTACTGCATTGTTGGTGGGAATGTAAACTGTTCAACCACTTTGGAAAGTAGTATGGAGGTTCCTCAAAAGACTCCACATAGAGCTCCCCTATGACCCAGCAATCCTACTTTTGGGCATTTACCCAAATGATCACAAACAAGACCATGCTAAAGCTACAAGCACAACTGTTTATTGCAGCATTATTTACCATAGCAAAGATAATGGAACCAACCCAGATGTCCCTCAGTAGATGAATGGATCAAGAAAATGTGGTATATATACACAATGGAATTCTATGCCTCCATCAGAAAGAATGACATTGCCCCATTTGTTAGGAAATGGAAAGACTTGGAAAAAAATTATATTAAGTGAAGTAAGCCAGGCCCAAAGAAATATAGTTCCCATGGTTTCCCTTATTTGCAATAATTAGTATATGTATGAGACAAGCAGAAATGGTCAGATAAGTTGATATTAGGCAAAATGAACCCCAGGATAAGGATTCAAATGTTTTTTCTTTCTTGCGATTGTTTCTAACATTTATAAGATGATTTCTTTGTTGCTTTGTATGTCCCTCCCCCACGGTATAACCCCTGTATTTGATGTTGGTATAATTTGTGGAGGGTAAGGGAAAAACAAATCGTATAAATAGGGATACAGGTGGACCCATTCCAACAATGAGATGTACAAGACGTTATGTCAAAAAATGAACTTTACAACTTTGGGGGGCAGGGGGGAAGGGATGGGAAAGGGAAACAAAGGAGGAGGCAACAATGCTTGATAAGAAATATACTCATTACCTTTCCCATGTAATTGTAACCCCTCTGTACGATTTTTACAATTAAAAAATATCTTTACTGTTTAAAAAAAAAAGAAGTAGGCAGTTTAAAATACATTGTCTGTATTAAATATATAGACTTCTGTCATTACCCATTAAAAATGTGGAAACTACCTACCTACATTATACTAGTTATTTTAAACGTAGAGATGATTTAAAGTATGGGATAATTAATATAGGTGATATGCAGTACTGTGCCATTTTATATTATAGACTTGATCATACAAGGATTTTGGTATCTATGAAGATCCTGGAACCAATCTCACAAAGATGCTGAGTAGTGACTGTGCCTGCCTAAATTTTCATATGGCATTGGAGGATTAAATGAAAACACTTAGCACAGTGCCTGATATGTACAAGGATGGGTATATGCTATCAGAAGACTTTCTAGTGTGAATCTCTCTAGCCTTTGCAAATTTACACAGCCATTCTTTTCTGTGACAGAAGGGGATGTTATGCACTTTTCCTTGTGCTACAAAATAGTTTCGAATACAAAACCATAAGATTAAATGGAGTAAGATGAACTAGATAGTAGTTTATGCATTGCAAG